AAAAGAGAGCTTTTTAAACCCCCTACCTAGGGGGTTTCCTCTGTGGTGTGGGGGTCTTCCTTAGGTGGCAGATATTCAGTAATGCTACTGTGTTGAAATAAAGGGGATTTTAAATATGAGGTAATAGATAAAAGGAATTCCTGAGTTGAAGTAAAAGTGATACATCTTTACACAAGATTATTTATAAGAAATTATCAGATTATAATTTAATAAATTCTCCAGCTGTTGTTGAGCTTTGTCTGGGTAATATATGAGAATTTAATTACCTCCTGGATAACAGCTATAATTAGACAGAAATTTGGGTGAAAAAATACAAAATCCTATGCAGTTTCTCTCCTCTCTTCTCCTCTCTCTCTCTCTCTCTCTCTCTCTCTCTCTCTCTCTCTCTCTCCCCCCCCCTTTCCCTGGTTTGTTCAACAGGGCCCTTGCGAGCCTTCTAACAGCCTCTTTCACCCCACCCCCAAGGAGGCTTTGTTAATGGTAAACATGCTGAATCAAACTTGCTCTCCATGTACTTGCATTTTTGAAGAGCCTCTGAGGGTTTTCTTCATGTGACTATGGGGAAAATGGACTTCTAAAATTCCATCCAAGTCCATAAACTACAAGGCCCCAAGGATTAAGTCCATTCCTAGCAGGTCAGCAGTCCTGAAAGAAGAAACAGAACTAAAGCAGATACAGTGCTTGAGTTATAACTATGTGCCTAGCCACACACCAGAACCATTTGGGCTCCCACCCATAGCACTGGCTCAGATCTCGGGGGCCAGTGAGTCAAAACCCCAAGATTAATTAACATTAAAATATACAAATATGCTGTACCTGCACAAGGCCCTTCAGTTTTGGGGCTTTTTTATTAACTAGAATAAAACACACATAGAATTTATCTTCTTGACCATTTTTAAATGTGCATCTGCTTTGTGCATCTGATTTCCACAGCTTTTCTCTTCTTCCAAAACTGAAACTCTATGTCCATTAAATAGTGCCTCACTCCCTGATCCTTCTACCCCCTGGGAAGTAGCAGTTTACTTCCTGTCTTCACAAGTTTGATGACTCCAGGTACCTCCTAGAAATGGAACCATTCTGCATTTGTCTTTTTATGACTGGCTTAGTTCACAGAAAGTAGTTTCTTCAAGTTTCATCTGTACAGCACATGCCAGAATTCTTTTCTTTATTAAGCTAAATAATCTTCTATTGTTCTGCTTATCCATTCAACTGTCAATATACACGGGATGCTTTGGCTTTTTTGACTATTATGAATAAAGCTGCTATGAAGATGAGCGTGAAGCCTTTAGGTGTTTAAAGTGTGATTACTGGAGGATGCAGAATAAATTAGGACCACAGCTTATACTGGAGGAAGAAAGGCATAAGATCACAATAATAACAGCAACTAGAGTTTAATGATTGCTTACCTCATGCTGGGCATTGTCATCACTGGTCCTCTGAGAGAAAACACTGTTACTACTGTCATTTCAGTGCAGGCCTGTAATCCCAGCTACTCCAGAGGCTGAGGTCAGAAGAATGAAAGCACAAAACCTGCCTGGGCTACAAAATGAATACAAATCAGCCTAGATAATTTATTGAGACTATATATATATATATACATTTTTATTTTATGTGTACGTGTGTATTGCCTACATGTAGGTAAGTGCACCTGTGTAATGCAATGCCTGCAGAGGACAGAAGCGGCTGTTGGAGCCCCTGGAGCTAGAATTACAGACAGCTATTAGCTGCCATGTGGGTGCTGGGATTCAAACCCGGGTCTTCTGCAAGAACAGTCAGTGTTCTTAACCACTGAGCCATCTCTCCTCACCCTCTAGTCATATTTTTAAGGAGACCAGGGCTGTGGGTCAGTTGTAGAGTTCTTACCTAGCATGCATGATGCCCTGAGTTTGATTCCCAACACACACACACACACACACACACACACACACACACACACATGTGTGTGCAAAAGTAAAAGGTAAAGCTGTTGGTTGATTAGTCCAAAGTCATTAAGCTAATGAGTCCTGGGGATGCAAATCTGGAAAATGGGAGCCAGAACCTGCACTTAAAGTAAAAGGAAATCGCAGAACCTATATTGACAGAGCCATAGCCAGCGCCCTTAGAGATGGGGGCCTAGCCTTCTGCACAGTGTAGCCTGGACATGAAAGCATGGAGAGCCAAAGAAACCAGCTCTGTCTCCAAGCAGCTGCAAATCCCGACAGTGTCATCTGTGAAAAGAGAGGCTTAACTGAGGATGCTCTGGTCTGTGATTTCCAGGAATCCTTTATTCCACATGAGATTTAGTATCTAACATTGGATGACTTGGCTAATTCTCCTTCTTGAAGATAAGGAAGTGATTTTAAAATTTCAAATATATGTTTATCTCCAAACATTGATAATAGTCTTCTCATTTGCAGTCCCCACCTATTCAAATTATTTCTTAGTAAAAAACATCATTTGAACTGGATGTAGTGGTGAATCCCAGGCAGACACAGGCAGATCTCTGTGAATTCAAAGCCAGCCTAGCAAGTTATGGTGTAGCCAGAGATACCTAGTAAGACACTGTCTCAAAAAATAAAAAATAAAAAAGAGAGAGAGAAATATCATTTGTACCCCCAGAAAAGAACAAGTGCAGTGATGTCATGCTAATAGTAATCTGTGAAGTAAAAATCCACTTTTCCTTCAGAAGATTCTGAGGCACAGTGAAAACAGAATAGAGAGGCATGTACAGTGTTCACCTAACATATATTCATGTAATTTGAGCTACATAATTCACTTCATCCTGCCATTGAGGGAAAAGAGAAAGGTGAGTCTGAGCTAACTGATATTTTCCTCTTCAAAATCATTTTTTTTCACATTTCTAGGTTTTCAGAAATTGGGGTTTTAAATGCTTTCATTATGATAAAATTTAATTAGCTTGTTGGGTTCTAGTGCTATAAGTACTGCTTATAGATTATTCTCTGTTCATTTCCTAAATATAACACTCGATATAATAATTTAGTTGTATCCAAGGAAACCAAGAAAAGAAGAACATTTTGTAAAAACTGTTAAGGATTCAGAAGTCTGGGAGAAGATGGAAGTTTTCAGTAGGAGTGTGCTTGCAAACCCATGAGAGCACTCATCAGAAAAACTCATACATGTCAGGCTCAAGAGGAGACAAATCCCAGAGTCATTTGAACACCAGGCAAATCAAGGGATAAATACTTATCTGGTGGAAGTTCAGGTGTTTCAAGTAGGGAGTGGACAAATGATTGATCAGGTCTGCATGTTTTTTTCAGTGATGTCTGCAGATGAAGTTCAAAATTCATTTTCATTTTATTTTGCCACCATTTACAGCAGGATAGACGCTTTGATTTTAAACCAAATTATTACAAGGGAAGCATGCCTCCACCATGTTCCAATTCATGAATTTCCTATTCTACAAACAGTAACTCCATTAAGCCTTCAGCCAAGCTAGAGAATTCAGTGACAAATAGCATCGTCTTCTGTGCTTTCACAAAACTCAAATTCTACAAACAAACAGAAGAGGGAGCTATCCATCTGAAAATTAAGCAGTCCTTTAAAAAATAAGTCAAATAAAGACAGGACATTCTCCTATAATTGAATCTTATTTAGTTTTCTAGCTTATAGCAACATTATAAATATTCTGGCATATTCCAAATTATAATAAACACTAGCAGCAAAGATTAAAACAGTGGTCAGTGAAGAAGCAAAATATATAAACCTTTAAAAGGCCTACTAAAAATACACTCACATTTTATGGTTTAACTCACATTTCATTACAAAATGTGGACCCAGAGCACGCGCGCTCGAGCGCGCGCGCGCGCGCGCGCGCGCACACACACACACACACACACACAC